GATAGATAGATAGATAGATAGATAGATAGATAGATAGATACAGTAATGTCTCTCTAATTGACGTTCAAATTGTCCACAAAAATGGACAATTTAGGAAGAGGAGATACGATTATTCGATTCTTGTGGTTCATTTTTATAGTCACGAATTGCCAACAATTATTAAAACGAGCTGCAAGGCTCCAATAATCGTATCTCTACCTCCCAAATTGTTCATTTTTGTGAAGAATCTGAGTGCAAATTAGGGAGAATTTCGAATCGTGTCATGTGGCCTCCGAATTGCCTTCGAATGGTGTTATGTGGCCTCCGAATTGCCTTCGAATCGTGTCATGTGATCTCTGAATTGCCTTCGAATCGTGTCATGTGGTCTCCGAATTGCCTCCGAATTAATTAGTATCGAAAAATTAGAAATAAAAAGATTAAGTCATCGTTTTTATTCTAGCATTGCTATGTAAAATAATGTCTCCCTAACTGACGCCCAGATTGTCCACAGAAATCGACAATTTAGGAAAAGGAGATGCGATTATATTCGATCTTTGCGGCTCATTTTTATAGTCACGAATTGTCAACAACTATTAAAACGAGCTGCAAGGCTCCAATAATCGTATCTCCTCTTCCCAAATTGTCCATTTTTGTGCAGAATCTGAACGTCAGTTAGGGAGACATTACTGTAGATGGATAGATAGTTAGATAAATAGATAGATAAATATATGTATATGTAGAGAGAGAGAGAGAGAGAGAGAGAGAGAGAGAGAGAGAGAGAGAGAGAGCAGTCGCGTTCCTTCCAGCGACACGCTAATAATCCCTGCAACTTGTTGCTGGCCCCAGACGAGACGAGGACTTCATCGATTCAGCCCACCCCGGGCGGTACTTTTACCTGGTACATATTTTGAAAGACCGGGCCAGCCTCCGGTTCGAGGAATTCTCCCTTCCGAATACGCAGAGCCACCTTTCCCTCTTTTCAACGAGCAACAATTTCTGAACCATGAGTTTTCTCGCGGTCACAATTGTAGTACAGGTATGAACACGATACGCGAGGATTACGGCAGAGTGACACAGGATCCGTGCGCGAGAATCGTAGACGCGATTCATTTTCTCGAGGAATTTTTAATGCGACGAACAACTTAGGTTCACGGTTGATTCATTCCGGAAAGAAGAAACAGGGTTCGATGAAATGATGCAAATGATTTTTTTGAAAGTATGTTCGATCGCTGTCATTCGGTGGTACGAAGTTTAATTATTATTATTATGTTAATATATATATTAATTATATAAATAATATAAATATATATATAAATTAATATGTATAAATATATATATATATATATATATATATATATAAATTAATATATATATATATTATGTTAATAATATAATTTATATTATTATTATATATTCGGTCACATGTAGGTGGGTGACACTAATCTTTGACTGGTTTGCAAAATTCATCTTTCATCCACCATGATTAATTTTAACTTTCTAGTTTCAATACCACTAATTGAATTACTTTTATGTTGCGGGGGAGGTTTTGGGGTTGATTTACGTCACTTAACATCTTAAGGAAGATGTATAGTATGTAGATAGGTAATTATTGAATGTAACGACGTTCAAATCAACGTAGTTTTCCAAGAAATCGTACAATCCTTCGGAGAATCTATTGATGCGTATAAAAATAGCGTTGACTACTATTATCAAGTACTATTGAACAGCTGATCATGAATATGTATCGCCAACAGCAACAACTCGCATAGATGAACCAGCTTCAAAACTTCGAAAAAAACTTTCGAAAATCGAGCGTGCCGCTAATGCATAATCACACACGATGTAAGCGTAAAAAGTGACGCGTTGCTTTATAACGTTTTAAATATTGTTTTTTCTTTTAACGTACGCTTGACGTACGAAATTTATTCGATGTTCTCCTGCAAAAAATCTCTCCGTAATTGCAACAATTGTCAAATAGATCGGTCATTTTTACCAACACGGTAGATTCAGTGATAATATTAACCCTTTAATGCACAGTTTTTTTTAAAAAGGCCGGCCAAAAGAAATCAATTTTTTTTTTATGTAAAAAAGCACAATTTAGAACGTTGTCTTGGCAAGAAAATTACAAAAATATAAAAATAATCAAAATTTTTATTGCAATTTTGGATTTTGATAACATTGCAGAAAATAGTCGAATATTGTAATATTACACGCACATCGACTTTTTTTATCTTTCTTTTCGAATTCCCATTTCAGAATAAACATTATTATCAGTAAAAATATTTATTTATACTTTTAAAACATAAATAATAACAATACTAGTATTTATAATATTTATTATTATATTTATATTTTAGTAAAATATATATTGATAAATGAGCGAATCGGAATCTGAATATGAATACGCTGTCGGAAAGCGGCTCACAAGGAAGAGATAAGTCGTAAGTGATAAGTAGAAAAAGGATATATTTTATACTTGAATAAGTAAGTATTATAGCTTATACAATCCCCCATGTAAATGATAAATATCAATAAAACGATTGTTTTTTTTTGCTTTCACATTGTTATTTTCAATTCTCGATTGCATTCGAGTGTGAAAAATTATAGCAACATAAAGTACAACGCCGCTCGAATTATCTCGAGTGTGCACAGTTTGGCCAGTTTAGCGCGCTCGAGTTAACTCGAGCGTGCACGTTAAGGGGTTAAATTTCAATCCACGGGTTCCTAGCTAAATAAGCTAGGAACTGCAGACAAATTTTTATTAAAACGATCTCATTTTGTAGTAAACGACCGATGAACCGGTCCGCCTCGATAACGGTCCAACGCGTGCCCGATTCTGCGTGCGATTTACTTGAAACGGTCACGTGACATTTAACCGCATATCACGTGCAGCAAGTTAATCGCGAGCGATCGTTCGAATTTTTCGTTTTCGCGCGCTTTCGTTCCCCCCCGAATTCACCGCCGAAGAAGAGGAACAAGAGTTGGTACAAAAGAGAGCAAGGCAGAGACTCACCGAGATCGTCGACCAGACGTAGCATGACACCGCCGATGTGCAGTTCCCCTTTGACTCGCAAAGTCCTCTCCACTTGTAGATCAGTCACGTAGACACGCAGCACCCAGCTGCCGTCCACCTCGTGGCCGTCTGAATACATGTTGCTCGGGAAACAAAACGAACGGTGAAAGAAAGATCGCGGAGAACGGTCGGGACGCGTTCTGTCTTCGGGCACACCACGGAAACTGTTCGGCTCTAAGGAGCTGAAATCATGGTTTCGCGGCACTCGACACCGCTTCGGCACACCGGAAATATACGAATTGCCACGGGCGACGATGTTTCGTACCGACCGCTTGGTCCGAACAATTCGAATTCACTTTACGATCGGGAGAATCGAATAGAACGGCTCTCAAAACGTAACTTTGCGGCGCACTTGCGACACACTGGCCGTCTCTCGCGGGACTCGCACGAGTGCACGACTTCCAGCCCAGCTCCGAGTCCTGAGTGCAGAGGCGCTCGGATCGTTCGTTCGCCACAGGCCTCAGCTGGTTCCTTGACTGGTGTCGGACCGAGCACTCTCGGCTTGGCTACCTTCTCTTACCGAGAATAGAACTATTTACAAGTGACGCGCGCTTGGAATGCGCGCGCAACTCCGGCCCCCCCTCAAAGCCCCGCCAACTTCCCCGGCCGCAACCGCCTTCGACGCCACCGGTACCCCGCAACCCGCCGTTCGCCTGACCCGTCATACAACTCGGTTTCCTTTCGCTCCGCGGTCGCCGATTCCGTTGCTCGTCATCGGTGTCGAGCGAATTTTATTCGCATTTCAATAGAGAAATATGTATCTGTCCGAACTGTCTATCGATGTATCTGCTACGCTTGGAAAATTAACGATCTTTTTCTACTGCGATCAACCGGAACGGATACCTTTTTTTTAGCTACAGTCTCTTTTTCGCTTGCGGCAGCATGGGATGTCTTGTAAATTTTGTTTCAGGCTGTGACGAAGTTTGTGTTCTATCGAATTGTATCAGATGTAAATTCAAATGTTTAGATTGTTTAGTGAAATATTCTTGAGTTGCGGTGGAATGTACATGCAACATGTAAATGTTTTTATCGGTTGTATGCACCTTAGTAAAATATTAGGAAGACCGAAAATAAATTCATTGCCTTTGTGGTCTCAGCAATAAGATAGATTATTGAATTAATTGAAAATTGAAACTCAAGTATAAGAGGTAATTGATTTTATTTCTGTCCACCTCATATGAGGATTTGTTCACATTTGATTAAGTAATGTGGGAATAAGATCTTTCAGAGAGAAAGCAAACTATAATTCATTCTTCTGTTAGTTTGTTTTTAATAGGTATGGTAATGGTGATTTGAACTTAGAGTTTAGAGACAGTTACAGATTTAAATTTTGAATAGATCTTCAACATGAATTGTGGCGTCATCCATAGAAGAACTCCCAAGTTTTTAGACTATTGGTTCAGAATTAATTTCGTTAGATGACACTGCAGGCATCTAAAGAGTGAACACAGACTGTAGAATCCTCTGTCCTCTTCTCATGAAAAGCAAAAGCACGAACGTGGTATATCTCGGTATTTCGATTTCTACTTCTACTTATATTTAAAAAAATGTATGCATTGTTGACAGGACGAATAGGTATAAATGTTAGTTAAAAAGCTAAAAACTATCAATTTATGAATGGCACTCGTTTTATTAATAATTCATCAAAACACTCATACCTTTTTAGAGTTTAAACATTACCCAGTACCTCAAATTCTATTAATTTTTTTTAATAATAAATTAGATGGTAAAATAGCCGAGGAAATGCTTAGCAACACCGCCTACCAAAAAAATGGTTACAAACCTTACGTACACAAAAATAAATAATTTATCACTTTTTCTCGATCGTAGTGATTTATGAATTGAGGATAATATCGAATAGAAAAATTTTGAATAAAACGTAAAAAACTTACAAATGTTTTCGAATACTTTAATTTTATTCCTTTAATTATAAAATTATATAATAAAATTAATGATTAAAGCTGAGATTCATTTATTAATTTCGTTTATTTTTATTTTATTAACTTTATTATCATTTTTATATATGTTAGTACGAATAAAAAAGATATAGATTTATAGCTTAATCGTATATCAAACTCATTTTGGACTACTATCGTTGGCGCTGTCTTACTTTTGTCTTCTTGATTTTTATATAAATATATAAAAAGTTTGTACTTCTTTCTTTCAACAAACACATACATTCAACATCATTCAGTATGTAAGAATGGTAATATACTTTTTTTATTGTAATCTTACACCTCATGAACGACACGTAAACGTGAATTTTGTATTATTTTAACTTATGTTAAATGAAATACAATTTGCTACCTTTAGGTGTCCAAATTTTCGTCCTGATCAGCCACCTTTAATTTTCTCCTGTTTACAGATTTATAATTAGTTTTCTTTGTCTTTTTAATTATTTTCATAGGTAATTCTTCATCAGATTCATCTTCGCTTTCTTCCTGATAATTCACCTTTGCTGTTCTCCCGCTTACGGTATTAGAATTAGTATTCTTTGTCCTTTTAACTATTTTCATAGGTAATTCTTCATCAGATTCATCTTCATTTTCATCCTGATAATTCACCTTTGCTGTTCTCCCGCTTACGGTATTAGAATTAGTATTCTTTGTCCTTTTAACTATTTTCATAGGTAATTCTTCATCAGATTCATCTTCATTTTCATCCTGATAATTCACCTTTGCTGTTCTCCCGCTTACGGTATTAGAATTAGTATTCTTTGTCCTTTTAACTATTTTCATAGGTAATTCTTCATCAGATTCATCTTCATTTTCATCCTGATAATTCACCTTTGCTGTTCTCCCGCTTACGGTATTAGAATTAGTATTCTTTGTCCTTTTAACTATTTTCATAGGTAATTCTTCATCAGATTCATCTTCATTTTCATCCTGATAATTCATCTTTATTGCTCTTCCGCTTACGGTATGAGAATTAGTTTTCTTTGTCCCTTTCACTATTTTCTTAGATAAGACTTCATCAGATTCGTCTTCATTTTCATCCTGATAATCCACCTTTGCAGCTCTCCCGCTTACAGTAGGAGAATTAATTTTCTTTGTTCTTTTAACTGTTTTCTTAGATAAAACTTCATCAGATTCGTCTTCATTTTCATCCTGATAATCCACCTTTGCAGCTCTCCCGCTTACAGTAGGAGAATTAATTTTCTTTGTTCTTTTAACTGTTTTCTTAGATAAAACTTCATCAGATTCGTCATTTTCATCTTCATAATTCATCCTTGCTGTTCTCCCACTTAAGGTTTTAGTACTAGTTTTCTTCGTCTTTTTAATTATTTTTATACGAAACTCTTCACCAGATTCATTGTCATTTTTATCCTGATCATTCCCTTCTTTTTTTATAGAATTAGAATTAGTTTTCTTCGGTCTTTTAACTATTCTTATACGAGATTCTTCATCAGATTCTACTTCAATAAATATTGGTTTTCTTGTTCGCGGCGATTTTCGAGTATTATCTACAGTTGGCTTCGTTGATTTCAACGGAGTAGTAGATTTGAATACCTCGCGTTTACGTGGGCTACTTTCGAATTCTAATTTTCCATCTGGTTTATGCGATAATTGCTTTAAGCCCTCTGTTAATATTTGCTTAAATTTGTCATAATCTGGTATACCATTGAACTTCATACTCGCCAACTCAGACATGTATCTAAGTATAGGGCTTGGAACAGCTTCAGTGAATGTTTTCTTTAAAAATGCTGGTATATTTTCAAATGCCTCTTTCTTCTGCTTTTGCACTATAACTGGACTTGATAAATCTTTCTCCCATAAGAGAGACTTGTTTAACCATTGAATCATATTATAACCCAAAATTTCAAGATCACCACGCATTGTTGACACTGAAATAAAAAAGCAAAAGAGTGCTCTAACACCTAGAAGTAAGTAATGTACATTTCGAAAATTAACTTGTGATTATTATTACCTCCCATGTGACCATCTCGACTAACATATTCAATGGTTCCATTATGAGCTTTCTTTGGATCTAGTTCATATTTATCTTTTGTTGTAAGACGGGATGCCAACCCAAAATCTACTAAATAAACCTGATCTGGCGACTTCAGATCCAACAATAGGTTTGCCCCTTTTATGTCTCCATGAATATACTTTCTGGAGTGAATGTATTCTAACACATTTATCTAAAAACCCGGATATTTCCATTTAATATTAGCTACATTACAAAAGTAAAATCAAAACAACTTGCAATGTTTCTTACTATTTGTAAAGCTACTTTGTACACTGTATGTTCTGGAAATTGTCTCTTATTTTGTTCGAACAACTTCCACAAATCCACACCATATCGTTCTAATACTATAAATCTGTATTTAGTATTTTTGTATTCATGACTTCCAGAGCCGAGATATGGAGGCATACCAAGCCTTGAAAGTTTCTTCTTCTTTCTCCAAGCATTAACTAAAATGAATATAATTTTTATTGTCATAATGTCTGCATAATTATTTATTTGAACATATGAGAACATGTTTCAGGAATAGTACAATAACGATGCAACAATGCTTATATTATTATATATGCATTATTAGATTATTAGATTATTAGATTTCCCTTCCTATCTCTCATAATATTATTTTGTATTAATACACAGAGTAAAAAAAAAAAAAAAATTCTTCTGCTTTGAAGATTTCTAGCAAAAAATCATCTTATACTACGTATTCTGAACCATCTTAGTAAATATGCTATTGGAATACTTACTTTCATCAGGCTTGGCGTTTCTCATATAAAAGTGCATTTCCACGAACAATGGCCCATTCCCATGTGGTTCCTATAAATTCGAAGACATACTGGATGTCATATAATTGTTAATACAACATACTAAGGGCTAATTCTATATGAAAAAAGAACAAGCCTAAAATATAAAATAACATTTCTTCATTTCAGATTTCCTTCTTGAAACAATCGACTACAAAAATCTGCTCGGTACACGTATAATCTATAAAGTCTCAACTGTATACTAATCTGTAAAAATTAATTATGACATGTTTTATTTGTAATTGGTACTTACAATCTTAATTACATTTGGATAATCCTTTGGAAACTTTCCAGTGTACGGAGCAGCTGTAATCAGTAAGTGATTTATTTGACTAACTTTGAATATGACAACAGATGTTGCAAGTTTCAATTGAAATAAGTGCTCACCACAATAAATTTCGCCAAATCCTCCAACACCGATCGATTTGCCAAGAACCCATTGAGTATCTTTTAAATCTTTGAGTATCTCACCAGGCGATATTGGATCTGGTAATTTATATCCATTTGCCCCTTTTCTTTTTGGCGCTTTTTTTACTTTACCCGCCATATCGAGGTTATTAATATAATAATGCTTATAATTCGTACATAAATGAGTGTTAACTCGATCATAAAACACAGAAGACTAAATACAATCACAGGCGTTAAAAACTTATATTTTAACGTACAAACAAATTCATATGTAAACAAATAACTTTAAATTAAATCCGGTGAGCAACGAACTCCTGCTTACAACACCTCAGCCGTTAATACAAAAAGATTCCAACGCAATGAAACTCAGTGCAGCCATCACGCGCACAATGAAAATTCATGTAACGCAGAATTTAACACAACATAATACGCGTTAACAATAGTTTACACAAAAAGTAAGAACGTTATATTCTCACTGACGGTTTTCTTAGTTATTTAATTTGTTTAATTAACGACATATAACAATGGATAAAAACAAAATTTAGCGTTGGTAGGCCTGATTATTTCAGTTTGATTATTATTTTAGTTTGAAAATTTTAGAAGAATATTTGGAAAAACAATGAATATTCATACATCTAATCCTTTATGATTCACAATATCTTCATGTTTGGTTTCAGTTGCGGCTTTATTGTTCGAATTTTGAAAACCCCAATGGGCAAAATAGAGTTTCATATTTTTGAATTTCGCGCGCCATGTGCAGCCTTTCAACCAGTACGTAACTCAATATGTTTAATACTTATATTATGTTTAATATTTACTGTGATTTTAATTTGTTATTTTTACTTGAATTACCGATTTAATTGGGTTTATATTAAGTGATTCATACTTCTTAAATGCCAATTAATCTGCAGTAATGTTATCTCGCGCGATTTCACAGATATGTCGCGATATTTCTCATGGTATCAGCATTCGAATATTGCGGGACATCGCTTTTTTGCGCATTTGTTAGCGGTGGAATTTGCAAACATGGCATCGCGTTACGGAGTAGTGTTATGTCGTGGAATGTCAGAAAAGAATGATTCCCAAGAGATTTTCGTTGAAACCTTTAAAACTGCAGGTTACACGTGCAACTGTTTGCCTACTTTAACTTTTAAGTTCGTGAATATGTTAGAACTACAAACATGTCTCCATTCGCCGGACTCGTATCAGGGTACCACTTTTTATCAAAAAAATATTTTACATTGATGAGCAGAAGTGAGTATCTTTTGAAGCTGAATAACTTGTTTAAAATTGAACCAAACGACTTGACCATTTTTCAATTGTTAGAGTGACGCTCACTTTTGATCATCGCTCTATCTTCACTATTTACTGTTCTAAGTATTCGAACTCTTACTTTGTTATACAGGACTTATACTGACAAGTAAACGCGCAGTCGAGGCAATCGATCTCATATCTAAGGAGAACGACAAGATTTTGCTGCCTTGGAAAACATTGCCTGTATATTGTGTAGGGCCTGCAACCGAATCTTTTGCTAGAAGTCATTTAGGTTCTGAGAACTGTTTTGGTAGGGAAACTGGAAATGCTAAAGAGTTAGCTGAGTTATTAGTTGCAACTGTTAAGAAAGGGTCAAAACCCCTGCTATACCCTTGCAGCGAAATTGGTAGAGAGACAATCGAGAAAACACTCACAGAACACAATATAGAAGTCACTAAGATAGTTGTGTATAGAACTGTGCCTAGCGAAACGCTAGAGCATGATTTGTCAGAATTTTTGGATAATGTATCTAGGATATTTGTCTTCTTCAGTCCTTCTACTGTGGAATTTGTAGTGACTATATTAAAGAAAAAATCTTATAACATGAACAATGTAAAGGCAGCTGCTATTGGACCCGTGACCAAGCAAGCACTGTTGCAGGCTGATTTAGCTGTTTTTGCCACTGCGGACAAACCTGACTCAAATTCTTTGTTAGAAGCTATTTTGAATGCTGAGAGAAGTGAAATTGCATGAGAGACTATGTAAAGAAATTACAGAAATGATGTATATGTGGTTTATTGTTATCATATGTAACAATATGAATTTGTTTAATCCATTAAGGTTATACTAAATTAATTCTTTACATTGTTAACTATTTTTACATTTACACCAAAATTATACATTGTATTGTCTCAATGTATTAGAATTTTTATTAATATTTTGTTGTGTTTATATTTGCCATATCATATATTAAGTGATTTATTTGAGCTTTGGTAGGAAAAATGTTAAATCAAATGTATTAAAGGGTTGATAATTGCGAATTTTATTTTTGTTCCAACAATAAATACAGTTTCCTAAACGGACACATTAAAAAAATAGGCTCAATGTGTATATACAATACAGTCCTATGCGAATACAACATAAATTATAACATTATAACGTTAAAGAACCATTGAGATACATTTTTAGATACATACTATATAGAAATAGTATAACTTTAGACTCACAATGAGAGAACAGAGAGTGGGTGAAGTTGTGCGTGTCAGTCTTTGCTATTTAATCTCCATCGGATATCCTATAACGTTTACAAAGTGTATATGTGTGAATGATTGTTAGAGAATACTGAACCTTGAAAGCACTTTCAACACTGACAAGGGACTCGGGATCATTGCCTATGACCAGATATTCACGATGTCTCCTTGTTAGTCCAATTATTTTCATTCTACACAACCTTCTCCATCTTTAACTTTATAAATGTTTAATATCTACTTCGGTTAACAACATTACCGAGAAGGCACGAAAGATCAGCACCGACGATCGTGGACTGATTAGCGTAATAAGGCTGAGGAGGGTTTTCCCCGTTGTTGTATTTCATTTGAACCGCGGTCTCGTAATCTGGCGCAGGTCTGTACGATGGGAGTAAGGCACGTAAGTTGTTGATGTCCGTGGATGATACAGACACCACTGGAGGATACGGCGATGTCGATAGGTCGTTGTAGCTTGTCCATCGCGTGTGACCTTCCGCATTCCTTGTATCCATATTCACAGACACAGCATGGTCGCCTGAGTCATTTGTGTCGCTGTCCTAAAATATTCCAGAATTTTTATTAAATATTTCTATTCATACATTTTCTAACTGGTTGCACGAGGCATATACTTACAAAATACCCATTAGTTGGTCTTTCCAAAGGACGCGATTCCTGATGCTGCATGTAAAATGTATGCTGTGCTATGCACAAACGCCACACGTATTTGGCATTGCGAGATTCGCTAAATACAAACTGCTTTGCTTCTTCACCCTCTGCCTGACACTCTATTCTGAACGTTTTCTTGTGATTTATTACGTTGCTTATGTCTTTCCACCTATGGTGGAATAATGCGTTAGCTTTCGTTCAAGACTTTTAACAAAATATATGTATACGAAATTACCTATAGAACTGTGTTGTCTGTGTACTTGGATAGACGACCATAATTCCGTTTATGGAAATTCCTAGTATCACTTCATTATTGCCATTGTCCTGTGTTTAATGGGCATTAATATTTAAGAATATTAAGAGCAATCATTTATAGAAGTAAAGGCATACCTTGGTGGAAAATGTTTCATTGCCATATCCTTCTAACTGCATGACAGTAGATATGTACAATTCCTCTGATGCAGCTTGCGTAACTCCAAGCAGATTCTTGTATTGACACACTGCAGTGTGTAATTGAGACTCTAGACCACCTGGTTCTGCCTGAATGGCATCCTAAATAAAAAGTATATGAAATTAAAATTAAGTTGGAGAACTTTCATATTAAATAGAAAGTCTATTTAAGTACTTTAGGAAATAGCGTGCACTGCTGTAGGCACTCCATTGTGTGTCTTTCCGCATCGTAGTTACCAAATTCTGCTTGCATTGAATAACTAGCTAAAAGAGTAGCTTGCCTAGAGTTACAAGGGAATCTTCCTTCCAATACGTCGCTCTTCAGTTGTAAGTAATAATGGTACCTAAAAATAAACAATTTCAGCCATAATAGCAAATTACGATTGAAAAAGATCCAGTTCAGTAATATTTACCTAGTCATCTCATCTTGAATAAGTTGCACATCCGTAACATAGTACATGATCCTTAAATACAGACTAAAATTTTTTGCCTCTTTCTCAAGTTGTTTCTTCAACGGTTTGTCCATGTCCACCCATCTTGGCGATGGGGAATCATGTTGAGATATATAACGAAGTCCAAAGAATTCTGGCTGACCCAAACCTAGGCGTTGGGTCACATTGTCAAGACACTCTTGGCCTAAACTGTCAATACTCAATGTACATTCGATGGACGTGGTATCTAAAAGCTCGACACAGATCACATACTGATTCTTCGACACCACATTGTATTGTCTACTTTTCTTTAGATGAAATTTGAATGGCATTTTAATATTTTGATTGGCTGAAAAACAATACGAATCTGATATGAAACTGCAACGGTCACGCGAACATAGTTATTTTTATATCAATCAGAAATTCAAAAATTAAACATTAATTGGATGTAAACATTCTCGGTCAGTGATTAAAAAGCAGATTTTTAGAACTTGACAGTGACAGAATCGTAACGAACAATAAAAACATTGTTATGACAGAAGAATCAACCGCATACTATTATTACAATCGGTCGGAAAAAGTAAATACCGCGGCACTGCGAACGAACACCGAAATATCTCTCACATTCTACGATACTTTTACTTTTAATTGAAATATATGTACATACACGCGCTGTTTATATTCCACTCTGTCGAGCATGAGAAATGTATTATTTTTCCCCGATTAACAAATCGAGGGCATTTCTAACCTCGTTTCTCACGTCATTAAGGCTGGTTGCAAGAGAAGGCGCTTCGGGTGCCACCAACGAATATTTCAAATATCAAATCTACAATGATAAATCTTCGTTAGAAGAAACCAAAAGTAATCGAAGAAAATAGGCATTGACATTCGTTTGATTATTTAATACGCATAATACACCCACGTCAAAATACTTGAGCTCCCCCCCTTTTCGAAGACGTGGGAGCTTTTACCCGACAAGATACCGCTCTCATATGGACGTATTCTATGAAGCTAAAAATGTTGCACACATCGTAGACGAGATGGAGCTGAAAAAATGTTAATTATAAAAATTTTCACTAGCATTAATTTGCTGGAATATTTTCCAATATGTAATTTCGATTTTGTGACAAATTACGTATGTACTTTCTATTTGGTCAGTCGGTAAATAAAATTAATAAGGAAATTCGTTTATAATTTCAAGTACACACCCTTCTTCTAAATCGTTTAAATGTTACAAGTTAAAAATTGTAACTAATTCAATTAATCTATTTGTTTTGTCTTTCAATTTATCTATTTTAAGATCTCCCACTCGAGCTGAGCAACTCTGGAAACTTAACACTAACTCCGTCGGTAATGGTGTTTATCGCGAAGGTTTTAATATAACCCGTCTTTTGTCTTGCTAATACTTTCCCAATATGTACACTCCAGAGCATGTGTCTAATCTTTTCACATAATCTTCTGAACACCCTTTATTTTTTACTGGAAGAGAGACTAGGATTTTAGTGCGAGGCGATAATTCTAACGTAGTGGTGGAACAAAGAGGACATCGTACCACTTCCGTAGTTCCGTCTCGCTTTGTTTTGATTACGAAGCAAGCCTGGCCCGGGCCTGCTTGCAAGTGTAAACACGTTTGGACGGTGCCGAGCGGCCTGGCACGCCGCGAGCACGGCACGCGTAGTGTGAACATTACAATGTAAATCAAATGTAAGAATGATTCGAATGGCGCGTAGATGTGAATCGACCCTAAGAGGACAAGAGTACATTTCTCTGTACAACATAGTAACAAAACATATGCTAGTATAATTTAGTTTTTGGGGTTCACAATATATCGAAATCTGTATTATAACGCAAGCTTGCATCTACATATCTTTGATTCCACGTTGACAGTCCTTCTACTTAGGCGCCATCTTATAAGCATCTTATAAACTTGTTAAATTTGTTGCTCTGTATTATCGATATCATGAATTTTGATGTCATGACGGTATGGGTTCAATGTCAGACTTTCACCGACAGAAATCATCTAATGCCATAAAACTGCTTGGACTCCATGGCTTCGGCACCATCAATTTTTACCTTACTTTTGCAGGCGATTCGAAATGGACAAAATGAACGATAATCAATTCAAAATTTCCTTTGGAAGTGTTCTCAAGGCTTTTACGAGTGCACGTGAGGCCCCCAAAAGAGTCCTCCGGTTCACTGAAACGGCGGTTTCTTCCGCAAAACTGCAACGTCATAACGTTTATTACTGTACTCATAGTAGAAATTAATATTATATATATATATATATATATATATATATATATATATATATATTATTATATATTATTATATTTATATTATTATATATATATAATTAATACAGGATATTCGCTTCTTGCTAACGTGCCTATGATGTCGACTGTCGGTAACGTCGAATGCGACACGGAATGGTAAGAGGGCTATAGAGTCCTAAAAACCTAAGACGGTAAAGCCCATAAGATACAATGTCTGCACGGATCCTAAGTCTGTATTCGCACGTATACTTCACGTGTACACNACGTTTATTTCTACACATAGTATAAATTAATATTATATATATATATATATATATATATATATATATATATATATATTATTATATATTATTATATTTATATTATTATATATATATAATTAATACAGGATATTCGCTTCTTGCTAACGTGCCTATGATGTCGACTGTCGGTAACGTCGAATGCGACACGGAATGGTAAGAGGGCTATAGAGTCCTAAAAACCTAAGACGGTAAAGCCCATAAGATACAATGTCTGCACGGATCCTAAGTCTGTATTCGCACGTATACTTCACGTGTACACATGTTCACCGCACGACGACCTTCGAAATACTGAAGACTACAGATATCGTATTCTATTTTTGCGGCGCAGATGTTTATCGTCACTCCTTAATTTTTTTGTTAATCTTACTCTGAGAATCGAAGTGACGACTGCCTCTTGCAACGCACTACGTGAACACATCGCTGATTAAATGTCCAAATATAACACTCCGATCACGTTTTTGAATTTCGGATACCCGAAAAATCTTCGGATCCCGACATGACTCCGAGTAGCCGAAAGTTTCCGACCCGACCCGATCCGATCCGGCGCAACCAATATATAATATATAATAATAATGATAATAATAATATATAATAAGTTCCCGACCCGACCCGATCCGATCCGGCGCAACCAATATATAATATATAATAATAATGATAATAATAATATATAATAAGTTCCCGACCCGACCCGATCCGATCCGGCGCAACCAATATATAATATATAATAATAATAATAATTGTGAGCACAATAGGGGTGTGCGGTTACCCGAAAATTTGGGTACCATTGGTTATATTAAATATTATTATATATATATATATATTTTATATATTTTATATTTATATATTTTTATTATTTTATATAATTTTATATATATAATATAATATATAATATAACCAATGGTACCCAAATTTTCGGGTAACCGCACATCCCTATTGCGCTCACAATTTAGACGCAAACGAAAGGTGATTCTAATTATATGTGATTCTGCTATTATTTTTGATTTGACATATGGTTGAGTTTCGACATATGGTTCCTTCGACATTTTTTATTCTCATGATACGTAGAATATAATGCCGGAAAAAAAATGTTTGACCTCGAAAAAAGATGGAGGCTAATTTTGCGGCAACTTCTTTTCACAGATCTTCACCGATCGAAAGGTGTAGAATTTCGTGATAGTCAAGGTTACTCGGATGAGTATATTTCCATAGTTGAGCGAATTAAATAATATTAATAATATTATAATATTAATTAACGATATTAATAATAATAATAATAATATAATAATGTGATATTAATAATATTATAATATTATTAATATTAATTATTATAATAATATTAATAATAATATAATAATTATAATTAATGCGAATTAAAAATTTCCGTTATGTAAGATGAGAAAGAGATTTTTGAACGAGGCAACGAACGTTCGCGCAGTGGTTTAATTACAGTATTTGTGAAAGAAAATTTTATACCGGATTTAGATTAACGATCGATTTCAGTATTTTAAATACGCGTGACCGGTTCAATAAAAGCATCTAGTGCCATCAGGCTGAGAGATACCTATGGGAAAACCAGTTTATAACGAACGAAATCGACTTTAGAACTCAGTATCCTTTTAACCAGCAAAGACGACAGACACGAACGTCATGAGTATCCCTCTAGGCCGCTTGATTTTCTTGACATTTGTACTGAATTTGTTCGATAACAGCTACGAGCAGTATGTTCCACCAAAACCTACCGTCGAACCCCTTACTCCGAAAGGGATCAGAATTTCTATTCCACGTAAGTTAATCTTAATAATATTGATAATAATAATAATAAGAAAAATCAATGATTAATAATAATAATAATAATTAATGATTAATACGCTTAGCTTATGAAAATCTATGAATTAATTGAAAATACATGTTGGATTTAGCATGTTTTACTATTCTATCAAAGTTACAACTAAAAAGTTAAATAAAGATTTCCAAATAATATTTAAGAAATTCGGGAAACTATAACGAAAGTAATGCTAAAGATAAATAAAAATTTGTATATTTAAATACAGGCATACAAATTTGTTACAATGTTTTATTGAACGTAGAATACTTTCGTTAAGTGATACGAATACGGAGAATCGCAGGTTGCAATTGCAATACAAATTGCATTTAAAAAATTTTTTTATCACGATTACGTACGTTTATCGTTCAAGGAAGAAGGATAGGCAAAGTGTTTACAGCATTTAAAGAGAACGATCTTAACCATTTAACTATAAACGCTGTATCACTGATGTCAAATTAGCAGAACACATACAGCGTGCGATAAGCGTTCGTATATGCGTGATTCACGTAATTGTAACACACCATATTTTTTGTTGCTCGATGAAGAATGTTAGGAAAAAGATAAATGTTTTCAAAGAGGACTCGTATTTGCCATTACGATTTTCTTGCAAGTGCAATGGCGCATGCGAAGTTTGCAGTTGCATTATCTTTTTTTTTTGAACTGGATACCGTCCTTCTTCTGAACTCATCGAAATCTCTTGTTATTCGACAGAGAGAAGCTGTACGGTAATGTGTTTAAAGATAATTAGTTCGAGGGGGGTATTTGGAAAAAAATATTAGATTTTCTCTATGAATCGTGAACGTAAAAAAAGGCAACAACAATTATTATTTATTTATATATATATTATATATTATTAATATACAATATTAAAAATATATATATATATATATATATATATATATATAAATAAAATATATAATATATATAACTAATTATATG